GCACAAAACATTTCACTTCAAATCAGTCATGCTCGTGTAAAACGGGTTTAGTCCCGCCACCACTTCAAAAACAAATCAAAACATGCTTTTAAAACTGTACGGGCATTACCATAAATTTACTTACCTCACTCGCATAAACCGAGCATTCAATTCACGCACTAACTGACAGAACGATCGGAAACCTAATCAAAACACCTCAGAATTAATACCGGACTATCACACATTCAAACTGAAATCATCATTAGGATCATTCTTAATCACAATGTTATTTCTATCACTCTCCACATGATCAAATATCTCCAAATTCGTTCTTATATCACAAACTAATCACTTAAATCCCCGTTAATTGTTAGCCCTCGGGGTGTGAACAGTAACTGCACTCTCCAAAATTGGCCAAACCACTAGCTAATTCACGGGTTTTTCCTCCAAAAATCACATAACAATCTAAATCAAGCTAATTTACACTTAAACCAAGCTTAAAACATGCTCAAAGGCTACCGGAATTTCCCCCATTTTTCTACCAAAATTCGGACATCACACGGCAGCTAACTAATCAAGCTAATTCTACCTTAATCAAGCTTAAAAACAATGGTTTAAGGCTGCCACATACCAGAATTTACAAGCAAGGAACCGGAGCTGCAGGGGGGAAGAGGCCGGCGGCAAGCTGCAGGGAAAGCTCACGGGTTTACCCAAAAATTGGAGGAACAAGAGCAATTAAAGTAAACCCAGGGCAATTCAAACAAGAGAAGAGAGATTCATGGCTATTTCTTACCAAAAAAACCAAGCCAATTCGCCCCCACAAGGCAAGAGCAGCCGGCGGTGAAGAAGCAGAGCAAGGCAGATCCGGCTTTTCCAGCAGGGGAGGGAAGATTTCTGGGTTCTAGGTGTGTTCTAGAGCAAGAAGGAAGAAGAAATCTCCAAGCTTTCTCACTAGTTTCTCAAAGGCTGGCTGGGTTCCCTTTCTCCTTTTTTTTTTTTTTCTCTCGGGCTGCAGCGGGAAGACAAGAGCAGAAACGGGCTGGAGAAGAAAGAGGAAAAGGGAGAAAAGAAATAAGCCATCCTTATCCAAATTCTCCTCTTTTAAGTCCCTCGAGTTTGGGAATGTTGGCTATTAGGCCCAAAACAATATTTTCTCACAATCAAGTCCTTAACTTACACTTAAATATTCCCGAAAATTTGGGATATTACAATTATAAATCTCAATATTTAAATAATAATTTAATATCCCAAATCAGTTCACAAATAATCAATATGTCAAGGAATAACCAATGATATTTAAATCCAATTCATATCATAAAAGTCATATACTCACAAATATGATGTTATAAGCATAATGTATAAAACAAAAATGCACAATGCTATAGAGTCCACTGATGGGTGCTAGCAACACTATACCTGAGCTAATCATGACACTCATTCTACTGCATAGAGGCCCACTAAATACCCTAGAGGATCCATTGAACACCCCAAACTTTAAGTTTAGGTCCACTTACTCCATAACCACAAACACATAATGTCAAACAAATTCAAATGCAATCAAAATAATACAAGAATATTATTTCATTTAATATTCTACTTAGTCAGTGGCATTCTAAAAAGATTTACATTAATATCCACATGCATAATTCACATATTTCACAAGATTTCCTACTCAAATAATTAAAGTTTAGTGCATGAACAGTAACTGAGAAAGAAAAATCGATTCCTTTCCAAATTCATGCACAATCTAAGCAACTCTAATTAACTGTACAAGTTCTAATTTAATTTTGCAAATACCCAAGAGATCATCACACAAAATATGCAAGGAACACAAAGCAACAACAATAGGTTATTTAACCATAAAATGCACACCAAATCAAGGATGAAAAAAATAAAACTTACTAGGGAATCTATCCCATGCAAGCCCCAAAAATAACATGTATTTCTAATGGAATTTTAATGCCCAAAAATCTCCTAAACTAAGGGTTTGGGGTCAAATCTCACTAATTTAAATTAATTTTTAGTATATTGTAACAACTCCACAACTTACCCAAACTCTAACCCAAATCTATAGCTAAAACTAATACTTATTTGGAAATCAAAGCACCAAATTGGAGAGAACATTAGAAATTAATAGAGGAGGTTAAGGAAGAAGGTTACTAAACAGCCTGCTCCTTGCTACAATCTTTAAAACTCTCCTCTCTTGGTGGAAGTTTAATAGAGCAAAGAGAAAATGGGTTTTTGAGGGTTCAAGGTAAAATGGGATTTTTCTTCCTAAAATCTTCCAGAGGAAGCCATGGTGAAATGGGTTGGTAGCTTGCCAGATGTCTCTAATTTGACTAAATTAGTTAGATAGTTTCCAACTATCTCAAAGTTTCACATAAAGTCCACATACTCTAAATCTAGCTAATTTAATCCCTAGAATTATAAAATAAAGGACTCTAATTTCTAATATATTCACTAAAGTATATGGGGTGTTACATAACCTTAGTGGTACACTCTTTGAATATTGATCCAAAAACAAAGTTAGTTGTACAACCTCATCATGCATTCCATCTAATCAAAGATGTTAAGAAACTCTTGGACAAGGGATTCATTAAGCCAACTAAGAAACCTCCTTGGCTGGTGATTATTGCTTATACTCTTGACATGTATTACAACTAAAAATAATTATAGACTTGGAACAATTAATAAGTTGTTTTGATATAGAGCTACACCACTAAAATATATCCTTCAAAATAATAACTTGACCTATTAACTCTTTACAAAATAATAAGGCATCATTATAAATAATAAATGCGTTATTGACTAGCACTTGTATGAGATGGTGACAAAAAGGAATCTTTTTACCTTAACCTCTGCATGGAATGATATGCTTAATGGAAACACTAGTAACGAAATCAAATAACTTGCATTATACACACTACAAAATCTACTACAACTACCAATTCCTAAACACAAGTTCTTTAAGGATATGCTCTAAGAAAATTAAGTACATCATATCTTACGCCTTTATATTATCTTGTATCATCCTTCTAGGAACAAAGCCAAAACTACTTTAAGGTGGTCAATTAAGACAAGAAGGTTTTAAACAATTAACTATCACATAAGGTATAATTTTGTATAAAAATTGTAAAAAAAAATAAGATGAAATTAAGTTAAGGAATTAATATTTTAAACTTGAGAATTAAAACAAACATTTGTTGTGTTAAGCCATATTAATTTCTCCCAACTTTTAGTAACTTTATAGATATATCCCCCCATCAATTCTTAGTGCTATTGATAGAAAGTTATAGAAAAATCATTTGGACTTCGAAACTTGAAAGCTCTTAGTTGGAAAGTTTCCTCTTTCACTTCACTTCATTATTTGTCAACACAATTAGTGATTAATGGTAATAATAATTAGTTGTATATTATGCAATTGAAAATGAATGGTTAAGCATAGTATTGCATTTTCATTTTTTGAAAAATATAGGTTGAAATATTCTTATGTGCTTCAAGTTGGAAACACCATTTACTACTTGAAAATTTGATTTTACTATATCCTTCAAATAGTTATTACATGAAAGAGCTTTGAATATTGATCACCATATCTAATCCAATTAAACCATGATTTTTGAAACCAATATGCTTCATCTCTAGCCCAAAGATCATTCAATTTACTCACTACTTAGTCATGTTACCTCAAATTATCCTCACTTAAAGGAGATTTTGTACATATAATGAAACAACTCAGGTCAAAACCTATTAATGGCCTAACAATTCTTTAGGTTAAGTTCATGGATCCTTAAAAACTTAAACTCAAGTTGTTAGTAGTGATTAGTTTCCACATTTATATATCAATTACACTCATACTTTTATCTCGATATGGGATTTGGGGTATTACAATCTCTTCTACTTGAACATTTGATGTCCTCACCAAGCCTAATCATTATCAAAATAAGGCCTACTAGGCCACAAGCATAGGATCCACCTTAATTGATGTGAGATTTACAGTACCACCAACTATACTGGTAGGCATAGGCCTACACTTGTGAAAGGTGACCACTTTCATATTTATTGAAACAACCTGGACCAAGGCTTGCCATTAGCCTAACAACTCTTTGAGCTAAGACCCATGGACTCTTAAAAATTTAAACTTACGTTGTTAGTAATTGTTGATCTTTACATTTATATACCAATCACACACAGTTTTATTCTAAAGTAATAATTAAGGTTTCACAAATAAGGACACAACCTTTTTAATTGAGCTTAAGACCTTTCACTACTACAACATTCAGTGCATGTTTGGTGCAGCTGGTGAGAAGTGCTTTTAAAGCTTAAAAGCTCCAACTGCACCAAACATTCAAACTTCCACCTCTTAAAAATGAGGATGCACAAAATTGAAGCTTTTACACATGCTTCTCGCTTCACTTTAATGGAATTTACTTATTATACCTATTTTACCCTCATATTTTAGCAAATTTACAATTAAATCCCTAATTTTGCATCTTCCTCTGTCAATTGGTCCTTTTTATCCATCTTCTCCATTTACCATAAAAACTTCCCTTTCTTTCTCTTCATTACCCATAACCCTCATTCCTTAGTTCGTTATTTTCTTGTGGGGGGGTTTTGTAGGGGTTTTCTGCTACTTGTTTCATTCAACTATCCAATTTCTTTGTAAAAGAAAGATAGCAAGAATAGACTGAGGGATTGAAAGAAAGAGATGGGTTCTCTACAAGATGTGTTAGGGAGAGGAAAAGACAAGGGAGAAGAGGTTGAGGAAGAGGCAATATTGAAGCAGCAAAACCAAAGGTTTCACATGTTTCCCATTAAGTATCAGCCCCTTTGGTAGATGTACAAGAAGGCTAAAAGCCAGTTTCTGGACCGATAATTCCCTTTCTTTTGTTTTATATCTCATAAAGTTTGCCCTTTTTTTGGTTTTAGTTCTTGTTTCATTATTTTTTTTTTCTTTTTTGGGTTTTTGTTGCTGTGTTTATGTGTTCTAAACTGGTTATGGTCATAGTAATTTCTTATATTTACAGGAAAGGAATGGAATTTTTAGTTAATTCATAGTTTGGGATTGAATATGGAGCATTATTGAAAGTGGGTTCTTATATTTGCATCTTAAAGTTGTATTCAGTGCATTATATTATTGCATTGATGTTAACATCGTTACAAGTATGTTTACAGGTGTTGCAAGTTGAGATTTTGAATTTTGGGTTTTTCTTGTTTTTATTCCAAAATGATTGTTGCTATTGGGGGCTCTCAAACGCTTGTCTTAGATCAATTTTAGAATTTCTTAGTGTTCTTTTTTATTTTGCGATTTCTCTGATTTTGGAATAAACTTGGATTCGATTGATTTTGTTTGCGTAGTATGCTCATAGTGGAAACTTCAAGGATTGGATATATGTTGGGGAGTGGAAATGCCATTGATTTTGTGGTTAGACTTGTGTTGGAACTATGACGGTTGCTAACTCCTTGAATCAGGTACGATGTTTTACTCTTTACTGACTTGTTATTTGCTATCTTGGAACCTTTGGTTGTCATGCTCTAGAGTAAGTTCTCATATGCTTTCTCAGCTTCTTGCTTGACCTCTACTTAAGTATAATCATATAAATGTAATGCTTGTTTTCCTTACAATATGGAGTTACTTCATAGATGAAGTCTTAGGCATCCCTCCTTAGAGATAGCCAAGCATGAACCATAAGCATATAAACTTCCTGTGACAATCCAACACTGATCTAACTTTTGGAGTTTCAAATGACAGATTCACAATGACTAGAGCATTGACTTTCAAGAGTGATGGTTATAGTTTAGGGGTTATCCTTTTGGAGCTCTTAATTAGGCGTAAACTTGTTGATCATACACTCCCACGTGGACAACAAGTCTTGTTACATGGGTATTCTTGCAAAATTTTCCTTGGCAATTTAAACTTTGATGTTTGGTTTTTATGTTTTTAACATACTACCACCATATGTAAGTTAGTGATATTTGGTGGGAATATTGTACTTGTATGAATATTTGGTTAATTGGAAATATGAATGAATACATATTTGGTTAATTTTGGGTGTTTTTGATATTTAATAGGTTTTGAATGAAATAAATTCTGGTCTGAAATAACAAAAAATTTGATATGTAAAAAACGGTGGAGAATTGATATAAAAAATAGGGGGAAATAGTGAAAATGTAGGTGAGAATTGAATTCCGACGCTCAAAATTTTATGTACTATGAATGTAGATGGTTATTTTTAATTTTATTATCTTATTTATGTGATTTAAGTATAGCATATTTTATTTTTTTAACATTAAAATATAAGTATTTATCTAGCATTTATGTTTTAAAATATGAAAAATTAATTTTTAATTATCAATCTTAAAATAATTAAAAAATTAAAGTTCTATAAAAATATAAAATAAAAAAATAAAGCGGGAGTGGTACTTTAAAAGTAGAAAATGTCTATTTTAGTCATTTTAGTATTATATTAGATTGAAAGATCTTTTATAAAAAAATTTACCAAACAACTTTTCACTTTAGAAGTACTTATGTATAAAATTTTACCAAACGCCTTTTATTTCTCAAAAACAGAACTTTTACAACAAATTCTCTCAAACAGGATTCCTATCAAAACCTCTAGCGACACCAAACAAGCTCTTAGTGACTATTGGCAATATATCAATTTTTGTTTTTCCTATTTTTGTGTTGATTTGATCTAAACGCCTCATGTTGCTAGCTTTGAGCAGTGTAATCTTCTAACCTTCTTCTAGCTTCCATTTTAGGTTTACTTGAAAACTTTCTTTGGAGCTCATGGGAAAGCATTATAGCACAAACTAATAAGATTGTGAGTTGAGCTAATTCTTGGTTCATGTAACACCTATGCATAAGACCATCAGCCATGTGGTCTTATGATAGACTTATCTATACTCTTGGTTATAAGTTTAGGATTCAATTCCTAGTTTTTATGAATAATGAAAAAAAGAAAAAGAAAAAAGAAAAGCTTAGTAAAATATTGTAACCATTCCAAATTCACTAGCATTCTAACTAGTCTTCGTTGAACGTTCTCCTGCCCTAATCAATTATTTGACCATGTATAACACTTATATCTAACATCATGTAGCCTAGAGCGAGTTACGAATTGATTTAAAATATCAAAATTATAACAGCTTCTCTACTCCCTTCAATACATTTCTTTATTATAAGGGGTGGGTACCCCAATATTAGAGTCGTCTCTTTTTTATCTATGGTGTTGTAAAATGTTTAACCTCACTACTGGAAAAAGCTGTATATTCGACAGAGGATTCTGTCCAATATGAATGCTTTTCTGTCGATTAAATTATGATCGACAGACATATTCGACAACTTTTTTTGTCGAATATAGTGCAGTCGATAATCAGTATAATTCGACAGCCAATTTCTCTATCGATTAAACAAGTATAATCGACATAATTTTACTATCGAATATATTGATTATCGACAGCCTGATTTATAATTTTGTCCAGTTATCTTCGACAGCCAAAAGCTGTCGATTAAACTTGTTTAATCGACAGCTACTAGCTGTCGAACATGGTTTTTTTTTTTTT